CCTGGTCTTACCTGTCAGGTCTAAGGAGCCCAGATCTCTGCTGGAATTCCTCAGCTCAATCCACCTCTTATTTGCTCTTATAGAACTGTCAGGAACTGTGGTTTGTGTATTGATGTCAGGCAAATGCTGTCAGATAGCAGTGCAGAAAATTCTATGTAAATGCCAGGAGTCATGATGAGGTACAAATAATGAATGGGCCCCAGTGGCATAAGCCAAGTAGAATAGAAGGGACCACAATGCATGCCATTCTACATATCCCATTGAGGGTCCTGGGACCATAGGCCTTGCCAACTCTCAGTGCTTTGAGTACTTTTCTCTCTCTCATGTTTCTGCCAGTTCCTAGATGGAAGGTTAACTAGAAAGAAAGCTGACCATTGAATCTCTGGGATATGTCCTTCCAAGAAGATCTGTAAGTTGGCTATTCTTTTCAGAGTCACAGGGCTGAGAATTTTAGCTGAGACCATTTACTATTTCTTCCTTTTCAGGCTCATCACCCATACAACTGCTCATACCCACTGCTTCCTGTAAGAGTCATCATGCATCCTTACCAAAAGTATGTTTGTCTCCGGCTAGAGGGTGACTTCAAGGATCCAAAGGAAATGGAGGACTTGATTTTGTATTGGTTGCCATACCCAAAGAAGAGGAGAAGCAGGATGAAGAGGAAGAAGAGGAGGGAGATGAAGGAGAATAGGAGGGAGAGGAAGAAGATGAAGAAAATGAAGAGGTAGAGGAAGAAGATAATGAGGAAGATAATGAAAGGGGGAAGATGAAATGGAAGAGCGGGAAGAATATGAAGAATAGGAGGAGGAAGGAGAAAGTGAAGAGGAAACAAAAGATTATTGTTACACATATTCCACACCTTTTTCTTGTTTAAATGTCTCCTTACCTACTTTGAGTCCTACCTTCTCTACCCTATTCTCCAGCTGTCTTATTTTTCAGGGGACTGAGGAAGAGAGGTGAGCTTCAGGAATACTGACTCCTCAGAAAATCCAGAGCTCCTTCACAGCCACATTTCAAAGAAGTTTTGATAAAGGAATCAACCACATGGAAGAAGAGAATAGTTCAAGCATTATCCAGTATTTGAAAGACACTCAATCTTTGTTGAATTGTCAACTAAAGGGAAAGATGACTGATTTAGTGTATGTTCTGATCTTCAAGTATCAAGTGAAGGAACCTATCACAAAAGTAGAAATGTTAAAGATTGTCAGCAAAGAATACAAGAAACAATTCCATGTGATCTTTATGGATGCTTCTAAGTGCTTGTACATGCTTTTTGGCATTGATGTAAAGGAAGACTGTGCCATAAGAAACTCCTATGTCCTTGTCAATTCACTGAACCTCACCTATGAAGAAAAGCTGAGTAGAGGGTGAAGAATGCCTAGAAATGGCTTCCTAATAGTTATTCTGGGCTTGATATTCATGAAAGGAAACTGTGCTTCTGAAGAAAGTGTCTGGGAATTCCTGAATACAGTGGGAGTATATGATGGGGATGACCACCCCATCTATAGAGAGCCTGGAACATTTCTGACCAGAGCTTTGGTGCAACAAAAATATTTGGCATATCAACAGGTGCCTACCAGTCATCCTCCATCCTTTGAGTTCTTGTGGGGTCCAAAAGCCCATGCTGAAATGACCAAGATGAAAGGTCTGGAATTTTTGGCAAGGATCAATGAGTGTGATCCACTTTCTTTTTTATTTTTGTATGAAGAGGCTTTAAGAGATGAGGAAGAGAGGGCCTGTGCCCAAAGTATCTCTCCAAATAGAAGTTCATTCACCCTGATGGCAGAGCATGCATTTCCAGCTTGTACCCAGACTGAAAGAATTGTTTTTTTAATGTATGCACTCTGGCTTTGCAAAGAGCAGCCAAAATTCTAAGTAATGGAAGGTGAAAGTTAGCTTGAGTAGAAAACAGTGGAGCACAACATTGTTGATATGCTATTTGGGGGTTATTATTTTTCATTTGGGATAGACCATCAAATGTTATTGCTTATAGTAAAAGATTTACTAGCTTTGAAATCAAAGTTATGAATGACCTTGATTCATACATTTCTTGCTATTTATTATGTTTTTAGAAAATACAGAGAAAAAACAATGTGATATTTTATTTTTAGATTGATACACAGTTCTATTCTGTAAAATTAAGTGCTGTGTTTCCATATTTGTGTAGCTCACTAAAAAACAAAACAAGAAAATACCAGTACAAAGCTTCTGCTTACTGACTCATTTATTTACCAAATATTAGTTGAATGTTTTATCTTTGGAAGATACTATCATATTGGCACAGGAAATGTGGATAGGTTAGACAAACCCCTGCTCAGACAATTATAGAATCTAGGGAGAGCTGCTGTATGAAGAACAAGGTGAAATGTCTTATAGGACATATGATAACAAGGAAAACATAAGAACAAATGAAAACAAAAAGGAGCTATCCATGAGAAGCAAAAGCCTGGTGTCAGTGAAATTTGATTAGGGACTTGGGAAACTCTCCTTTGGGGTTAATTTTATATTAAGTCATGCAAACTTTCAGGGACCATTCACACAACGATTCTTGTAGGAGAGTGGAAACCCTTGAAAGGAAATTGCTCTGAGCAGTTCTCTTGGAATTTGTGCTAAACCAAAGAGGGTTCTCCATCTGGTCCCTAGTGGTGGGTGCTCTGGTATCCTATTCTTATCCAGATGGACTCAGTGTTTGCAGTAAGTATTGTACTCACAAGTGCTGAAAGAAGTTTCTGAGGAGAAATATGGGAACCTCTTGGGTTACTGCCCAGATACCATCAGGCTGGCATTCTTTCTCCTGGTCCATAAGATACAGAACCCATTCTATTATTATTGCATCTTGATTTCTATTTGTCTAATCTAATCCAGGTCAAGGATTTGGTGGTAGTGGATTTAATTTAAAAGTATATTCAGAAATTGAGCAGCTAGAATGGAGGAAAAAGTTGGTCTTTGAGGGAATTCTAAGAACCTTGAATTATTTTAGCCTAGAAGTTAAGCTTCAACTGTAAAATAATATGTCATCTAAGAGGGAAAATATCATAATTTTTATTTAGAACACTGAATTTTTTGTTCCTTTTTCTCTTTTTATTTAAATTAAAACAATCTTATTTTACATATCACTCCCAGTTCCCTCTCCCTCTGGTCCACCCTTAGCCCCCACCAACCCACCATCCCACTCCCCATCAACTCCCCAGGGAGGGTGAAGCCTTCCATGGGGGATCATCAAAGTCTGTCACATCATTTGGGGCAGGGCCTAGGCACTCACCCATGTATCTAGGCTGAAAAAGTATACTTCCATAGGGAATGGGCTCCCAAAGCCCATGCACTAGGGATAAATACTGGTTCCACTGCCAGAGGCACCATAGACTGCCCTGGCCTCCAAACTTGTCCAGGGGGCCTGGTTCGGTACTATGCTGGTTCCCTAGCTGTCAGACTTGCATCCGAGTGCTCCCACTTATTCAGGTCAGCTGCTCCTGTGATTTTTCCCAGCATGGTCTTGACCTCTTTGCTCATCCCTCCTCCCTCTCTACAACTGGACTCCAGGAGTTCCGCTCAGTGCTTGGCTGTGAATCTCTTGTACTACTTCCATCAGCTACTGGGTGAAGACTCTAGGATGGCATTTAAGGTTCTTTTGATATTCTTTACCATGTTGAGCTGCTTCTTTTCTGAGATGTTGTAGACAACAATATCAAAACCTGAGGTAGAGGATGGCAGGGTCCAGGGTCTAATACCATTCACCCTACAATTCATTAAACTATCAATATATTTGGGGAATGTCCCAGGTGTTTTATTCAGAGTCAATGAATTTTCACCGTGCTGCCACATATCTCAAACCTGATTCTGAGAGGAGCAATCTGAGGTTCCTAGTGCTTGAGAATTACCCCCAAGGTCACGTAGCTGGTACATGCCAGCACTCAACAAGAGTTTATCTAGAGTACACATTGTTCCAGCTCTTCTCAGCCTGAGGCACCTTCGGTTTCTTAATTCATTTTCTACTATTCCAAACTGCCTTAGCTGAACAAAAGAACACTGTGTCCACATATTGGAAGCAGAAGGAATGATAGATGAAAATAAAATGCCGTGTTAGATTAACCTTCATTGTATGAAGATTGACTTGCTCTGTCCCTTAGGAAATTTCATTGCTGCCTTTCCCTAGATGCTAGAAGTACATTACTATTATCTCATTTTCTTGAATCAAAGCAACCTTCCTCTGTTTTTTTTCCATTGTTTACTACTCCCTAAAGCAGAAATCTAATGTTTTGACCAGATTAATACTACATCCTCCTCTCCAAGCTATGTCTCTCTTCTAATGACATTATTTGTTACAGCAGTCTCTGTCCTTCCCTTAACATAGAACATTCCAATTCCATGTACAAGTTCCCAAACTATGCTATCTATAATTCCAGATTCCCTCTGCTTTAGTTTTACAAATTTTTCCCTTCAAAACTTCACTGAAAGCTTAACGGAATGCAAGATTTTTATGAGGGGCCCTCACTCATAGCTAGATTAGCACTTTTATAAAAGGCATGACACTCGAAAGACATTTTAGTTCTTCTGTCCTTTGTGGAATTATGGGAGCCCGTGTTTTCAGGGCTGCAGCCGGGACCATTATGTGGTCACCCTCTGTAGTAGACCCATGTTGCTGTGCCATATGTGGGAACCTGGCTTTGTGGGGACACAGTCAGAACCAGCCAAATTCCTCTCAGGTAGGAACCGGGGGCAAGCCAGCTGCTTCTGTGTCTCCAAAAAAGCCAGTTCCCACATGGAATGTAACCAAACACCATTCGTTCTCCCTTGAGAATGACTACAGCTTTGGGGCTTAGAAGCAGAGTGCAGCTCACACATGACACCCATCCTGCCCAGTTTCTTAGTCTTGGACTAGTCAAACTATAAAATAATTTTCATATTGTCTTAAGCAAAATATCAATAACCATCTCTATAGAGATCATGTCCTGTGGACATGACTTAAGATATTGAAACACTGATAAAACATTTTCACTTTACTGGGAGAATCAATGACTTGGTAAGGTTTTTAGGAGCTAGGGGGAATTCCAATCAGGACATTATTGTCACATGAGTAGAACCAAAGGAAAGTAAGTTTACAGAAACCATGAAAAGACTAAATGGGAATGCAATTGAGAGAGCTGTATGGCAGCTGCTCCTCAGCCCTGAACACCAAATTCAATACAGGGTGGGAAAGGATTCAAATGGAAATTTAAAAAGTGGAGAATGTAGGTAAGAATGGTTCTGGGAATGAAAACCTTTGTAAATTGACATAGGATACTGAGTCATCACCACCAGTCAGACATTTAAGTGTGGTCTGATCAGCTCTAATAATGGGTTGGGACAGTGAGCCACCCCTATGTTCATTCATAAGGACACAATGTTTCCTGCATCCATTTGAATGATCCATTTCTTTTGTACATGTTAGTGGTCCAGTGTACCTTGCCATGTGCCCTGGACCTGGAACATCCTTGAAATCTACTGAAGGGTGTTTCTTTTTCTTCACTGATGGAATTCCTCCACAGACTAGAATTGTGTTAGTGTCTATGAGATGATTTCAGGTGAGACAGTCACACAGGGTGCAATGAGGGTAGTATGAAGCCAAGTGGGGTTAAACAGAAGTAGGAATTTATTGGGGCTTGGTATGAAAATGTCATTGCACATAAAGAAATTAATGAATTTCTAAAACAAAATATAGATGCATATGGGTGTGTCCAACTCAGATATTTATTTTGGACTTTAAGGTATTAGCACACTAAGAAGAAGTGAATTCCATAATGCTGTAACAGCTGGCCTTCATTTACACTATATTCTATCTGGGGTAGGTGTTAGTCCCAGGACACAAAATTTTGCAAGAATATGAAGATGGCATACTTCTCTCTTAAACTAATGGGGACTGATGGATTCAAAATGGAAGCGTGATACATCATGTGATTGAGAACACTGTTGCCTTGAACATGATGCTTGTGCCTAAAAACAAGATGTCTGTGATAATGTTAGCCATGGTATTTCCCATTGGAATTCTGAATTTGCATGAACAATTTTGTCCTTTAGAATTCTTCCATGTAGATAGATATCCCAGGCAAAGTACATGTTCTACATTTCAAGTCCCTGAATGTAACTATCCACTGTTTTGATAGTGTTATTATTAGAACAGTAAATAAGCAAAGCAGAACTAAATTATAAGGCTTTTAATTGGGGTAGTATGTGAGAGAGTACAGGGGGAGAAAAGATTCTGGAAACTTTAGGAAACCTTTATGAAATGGTAGAGCAGTACATACACATTCTGAGTTTTGAAAGTTGCTGATAAGATGCAATATTATCCTAGTTTGCTTTACATTACTGTTATACAGGTTATGACCAAAAGCAACTTGGGGATGAAAGGGTTTACTTTGCTTACACTTCCATATCTTAGTCCATTGATTAGAGAAGTTAGGTCAAGAACTCAAGGCGGGAACCTGGAAGCAGGAATTGCAACACAGGCCAAGAAGCAATAATGCTTGCTCCCATAGCTTTCACAATTTGCATTTTCATATACCCCAAATCACCTACCAATGGGTAGCACAGTCCTTAATGGACTAAGCTTGCCCCATCAATTGTTTATTTTAAAAATGGTCCATAAATTGCCTCAGGCTGATCACATGGGAGCATTTTCTCATTTGAGGTTCTGTATTCCCAAATGACCCTTGCATAAGGAAAGTTTTCAAAAAATCTCACCAGTACAAATACATTCCTCTTAGTTGAAAT